AGTTTGGCAACGAGCTGCCGGGCTGCGATAGACAGTCAAGAGGTTGCAATCGGGTTGGTACTGCCCAGTCATTGTGCAGAGTCGTGGCGCTTAGAAGAGGGGCTTTTGGGGTGATTCCGGCATGCCTGGGACCTAAATGTGTGCAAGGTCTTGCAATCTCACATGTTTGCAATGGCTCAAGCTGCACTTCCATGTGGCACGGCACAAGCGTGCTGTTCTAGCTGGCGCAGTCAAGTTTGATGGTCATGCTTGCTGGGCCACTTCCGGTAGGGATGCATGAGCCACTTCCGGTACGGATGCATGAGGGGCACAGCCTGCCGGAGACCATCATCCACGAGCCACCGACAATTTCGGAGGAGTTGGAAGAAGAGCTTCATCGCTTGGGAGCAAGCTCTGACATCCTCGGTCATCTTAAGGAGCTAGACATGGACATCATGGACCAGGTGCCAGGGACTGCAGGCCAACTTGATGGATCAATTCGGGTTTCCGCCCTGCGCTGCCTCTCGCACATGCTACAGGCCTTTGGGTCGGGCCACAGCTACTGGTTCAAGGCAGCTTTCCTGCTTGACCGAATCGTAGCCAGCAGTACATTCCGCTTGGAACAGCTGCCACTCACATGTGCTGTCCTTACGCGGATTGTCATGAAGCTGGCTTCTAGCATGCCACCGCCGTTTGCAAGCAACAGTTGCCCCGCAATGCACATGATCAAAGACTTCGGGACATGGCTGGAGTCCGCGCAGAACTGCGTTACCGATCAAGTCTCCGACATGGCTCTGTGCATGCATGAGAAAACAGTTTTGAAGGCGTTGCTATGGCAGATTGAGTGCCCCTGCGTGGAACATTGGAGTTGCCTTTTCTTCACGCGCTTCGGGATCTTGGCTGGCCGGGACTTTCAGGCCTGGGTCGATCAGATGCAGGCAAAGGTCTTGATGTTTGCGCGCGCCGTGGTGATGTGCTTCCCTACAGCTCAGCTGAGCCAGGGTCGTCTGGCCTTGGGGCTCTTCAGCCTGAGCTTCGTGGATGCTGGGATGGTGCCCGTGGCAAGCCTCAAGCCATCGACGAAGAGCGTCTCCGAGTGGAAAGCACTTCTCACAGCGACCCAACCAAGAGGTGAGCTGCCAGAGTGCCGTTTGCCGCCCTTCATGGCGATGAGGGTCATGGACATGATCTCGTTGGCCGTGAATGAGGAACCCGATGCCATCCGCGCATCCGCAGGTGTGGTGGCTGAGGCCTTGGGCGAGACATTTCGGAAGATTCAGAGCTTCCAAGTGGAGCGACCATGAGTCAATTAATGCAATTTCTTTGTTAAACAACTGCACCACTGGTGCCAGTTCGATAGACCGCGGGCCAGCAAGGATGTTTCTCAAGAAGGGGCCGATCCACGGCTCGGTTTTGGAGCTAGGAACTCCTCTGTTTGGCCTTCTGCGGGAAAGCTGAGCGCACGAGTCGCTTACTCACTAAGTGATTCTGGCCAAGTATTCCTCCTGGCAGAGTCGCAGCAGGCCAGTTGCAAAAACTGCTGGTCAGGTTCTTCCCTTGTGCCTGTCCAGCTCGCATTCCTAGATTGTTTTAGATTTTCGTATTTAGGCCTTTGCTGTCGGGGAAGCAGCAAAGAAGCACGGGAGAGGTGTTGCTGACGAATTCATAGCTGTTTCCAAGCGCAGTGAGCTCTGATGCAACGATCCTTGTATCTTGTGATGCGAGGCCTGATGTTCGATGGGTTTGTTCCTGTCCGAAAATGAATTCGAGATTCGAGATCAGAAACACTAGCTCCCACACCCGTCTCCTCCCGCAGACAAAGTGGAGAGAGCATATTGGACCGTTAGGACTTCGAGCCGCCACTTCGGACTTGGAGGCGGCCATCCTTCCGACAGCATAGCCGTCGCGAAGGGGTCGGAGAGCTACGGCTCATTGGTCCAGAACCTAGGGTTAGCCCAGGAAACATCGTAAACTCCACGGGGGACAGTTCTCTCCATCTTTCTGTAAGGGGTGGGCCGGCAGAAATTCGGCCGTCTGAGACTGTCTCAACGGGGATCCCGTCTTCATCGAGTGGATCCCGTAATTTTAGAGAGAGTCCCAGGTGCCTGCTCTGCAAGGGGATGTTCAGCGGTGCCCTGCAGTGGCTCGGGGCCACCTGCTACGGCCATACCCTACATCGGATTTAGCAAGAGTCCTAGCCTGCAGAAATAGTCGCAAAGTGGCGTGTGGTGCAGTGGTAATGGTGGTAGTGGTGGTGGTCGTGGTGGTGGCACTAGGCGTGGTGATGGTTGGGTTGTCTGCCAGGTTTAAGTGTAATTATTGCCTGGAGGTTAGATTGTCGTTTTTGCGTGGTTCACTGTCGTCGTAGATCCTAGTAGTCGTACCAGTCGTAGCAATAAGTTCAGCATGCAGAGTTGAATTCCTAGCATGTGCATGGCTATTTTGGACGCGGCGCTACTGCTATGACAAACAACGACGCACCATAGTAGTGGGACGACAACAAGTAGTAGTAGTAGTAGTA